GGAAGCCTGGCTGTTCGATTCGCCAAGGGGCATTCTCTTAAGGCAGCGTTGGGAGTTTCTCAAAATGGTTTATGACCTTTTGTATGTCAAGGGACATCAAAAGAAAGCCTACTTGCTTGTTTGATTCGCAAAGCTCGTAAGTCACTTGGGGTTTTTGACCCCCTTGTAACAAAGTCGGGGGTCTGCTCAGTGGGTTATAACGTAGGTTTTCAACAGCTTACTAGCTTGGACGAGACCCCGGCAAAGAAAAAGCAAAACAACAACAACAAAACAACAAATGCCACATGTGACTTGACCAGCATCATCTCACCCTAGGCTTTATCAGCATACACCAAACAAAGGTGGGTATTTGGGGTAGTGTACTCCTACAAATTATCATGGCACCCCAAAAATGCTCGGTTTCCTCTGCAACTGGATGATTTGTTGGTTTCCATGTTAATCCTTGGTTCCAGTTCCCTATCAGCATAGGCAAATCAGGGAACCACCCTCGAACCAGAACAAGACTGTCATGCCTCTCGGGGTACCTGGGACGCATTGGGAGTGGGTCTCAATGAGACCAGCTTTTTTTGGAACCCTTCCCCCCCTTTTGGAGAGGGACATCCCAAAAGGTTTGGGTGCTTTTGAAACTACCCGACTCAGGGCTCCCTATATTTCTCTCCCGTTGTGGTTTTCAACTTTACCTAGGCGAGCGTATTTTAAGAGTGATTTTTTGGGGAGAATTACCGGTTTCAAAGGGAAACCAACAGAACAACCAGGATTTTGGGGGTACCCCATATCTTTGTTAGGCACTTCTACTTGTTTCATCAGGATTGAATTCTAAGGCCCGTGCAAAGCATATAGCCCAAAAGGATTTTTCTTGGGCTGAATTCTCACTGGAGGGCTCGTGACTTCTTTCCAAGGCTCGCGTTGAAAACGCGAATCGGGCCATTCGCCTCGAGGCTCGATCGAGCGGAGCGGTGGGGAAACGTGGACTTTCCCGGAGCTCCCAGCCCTTTTCCACATACCCTTCGACGTTCGGGACCTGGTGCCTTTAAACAGGGCTCCGTAAACTGGTTTTGTTGGGCTTAAAAGAAACCCAGCAGTTTTGTTTCTCTCTCTCTCTCTTTGGTTGTTTTTGGGTTAGGGGAGTACGTTGCAGGGCTCCTTAAACGAAATTCATGTTGCCCATCCATTTGAAACATGGCTGGCTTTTTCAAGACCAAAATAAAGTTGGAAGCCACCATTTACAAGTTGCAATGCTCAGGTGTTTTTCATGTAAGGATCCCTGTTAAAGGAAAATGGTCTTCCAAGTCCTGTTGTCAGGTTGTATGTCAATTGGTGGGGGGCCAAAGGGGGCTAAAGGCAAAATCAGTCCAACCTGAAGGGTAGAGGAACTCGGACTCAAAGTAGGAGTACTGGAGAACCTGCAAAGGATGGCTCCTGAGCGTTAAACTTCTTGGGCTTGGACCATTTAATGGTAGCCAGGAAGTCTAGACCTGTTGTTGCCAATCCACTCGGGACGTGAGCATATTTTCGAGTGCGTTTCCAGAGTTCTTCTTGCTGGAGAAGCTCATTTGGCAAGTGGTTGCGGTTGAAAAGTGGAGGTGGAAGGAACTGTGGAGGACGAAGTCCATTCGCACCACTTTGAAGACAGTAGTTGGCATTTACAGGAAAATCGGATCATTTCAGGGTAATTGAATGTTGGAGGGAAATGTCCATCAGTAGGTGCCCAAAAATGGGTTGCACAGCTAAATGGAAACATGGAGGCTAAGATCTGCGGTGAATATCCTGGTGGCTTTATTTCGACGCAACCAACGGGAGGACCCCACTTTAAGAGGAAGGCACGAAATGGATCATTTGAGAGGGTAAGCACACCTGTGAGTGCAGTTCGGACGAATCCGCAGTCCACATTACTTTTGGGGCCCTGTTCCGTTTCAACGGGGTTGTGCTGTACCTAATCTTGGTGGTTCCCAGCCGTCCCCCCAAGCTTTCAGGTTTTTAGTTGGTTTAGTTGGGATTTTCATTTAACCCACTAACAGTTCAACTTTTCGCAGGGGATCTGAAAACGGACAGCCCAGCAACTAGGGGTGCTGTAATTCCTTTTTGTTGGTCATGATCACGGGGGAACCACTTGCGTAATTTTAGGCCTTTAGGCGCAAGAAATCCACTCAAGTCGCCCGAAAAAGTTCAAGGGCGCGAGAAGAAGCTCGCTTTCTTGAACTGGCAGCCGACTGGGTTTGTCAGTGCAGCCACATTTGTGGATTCTACCTGGAGACTGCAACATGGTTGGTTTCCCAAAAGGCACTGGCCGAAGGCGACCGAGCGGGCGCAAGACTCAGATGCCAATCAGCCAAAAGAAATGACCGAGCTTTCGGGGTGGCGTTCACCTTGAGGCTACTCTTGGGGTTGTAACTCAAGTTGAAACCACCAGGAACTGGGGAGGAGGGGAGAATTGGTTTTTGAGGCCACCCTTGGGGTTGTAACTCAGGCTTAGCGCGCCACTTGTTTTTTTAGTGGCCAAGGGAATCAATCGCCGTGATAAACTCATCGGGTTGGGCTCCACCTTATCTCAGAAAAAAGCAACCTCCATTTGCTTAGGGAATCAATCATTATTTGACAGAGGGTTATTTTTTGAAGGGGACTTGAGCAAATGGAGGCCATGGTCTTCAACAGGGACCCATACATGAATCCATGTTGAGTATTTGGCCGGTTTACCATAGCTGAGCCTTTAGAAAGCAGCGTGTCTTTTCCTAGACCCATTCTTGGGGAGTCTACTTTGAGACACAGCCAGATGAAAAACATGCCCTGGTTTCTGATGCTTCCCCTGTATATAAATACCAACAAACGATGACTTCCTATGGTTTCATTTCGTGGTGCGAACGGATTTCGCCCATCCACAATACCCCCTGCCGCCAGACACTACCTTTATCTACCTTTCTTCTCTTTTTTTGCGGGCTCGCCACATTTTGATCGGAGCGAACTGAAGCAGGACTTGGAGCCAATCGCTCTTGGAGCCATGTCTAAATGCGCATCTCCGGATCAAAGACTCTGCCAGGCTGAAAAAATCGTCTGCCCTTCGCAGGCGGGGCATTGGGAGAAGCCTTGGGGTTTGAGGCATGGGCCCTCCGAAGAGGTTGGTAGGACAGGATTGGAGGGATTGGGGATTGGAGGGACTTGAGGGATTGGAGGGATTGGACGGATGGCAGGGCCGGGCAATTTTGGTTCAGCTTTCCTTGATCTCAGTTGTTCAGTGGCTCCCTTCTTCCCTTTTTTTTGGTGGCTGCCCCACTAAAATGGTCCAAGCACAAAAAAGGGTTCCCTTTTTTTTCCAGGGTCACTGAACAACTGAGTCATGGATTGGAGGGACCAAATCTTGAAGGGACCCATGTAGGACTGAAGGGACCAAAAGGGCAAATTGTCCAATCGGCCATATCTCTCGCGGGTTGAGGCGCTTCAAATACAAGATGGAGGTGCACTTAAAGATCCTTCAATTTGCTTAAGAACATTTTTTTTTAAAACATATTTCCCCTTGTTGGTTTTAAAGGGAATGTATGACTGCTGGATTTTTGTTTCTTTCCCGGAGGCTGAAGCAAATGGAAGGATCGCTTCCTGCTTGTCCCCCGGCCATCGAATGATCGAACGCCACTACGGCAAGAAGCACCCGCCGGCGCGACGTGGCCTGCCAGAAGACGTCCTGCAAGAACACGGTCCTAAGGGAGTCTGCTTGGGTGTTCGGCAAGTCAGTAAGTTATAAGGGTCAATGTTTCCTTTGTTGCGTCGATGAACATCGCAGGGGGCATTTGGAGCAGGGATAAGCTCAACCCTTGGGGGCGGACTTACCAGCCAGAGGAAATTCTACACAAAGTAGATATGCTCCGCAAGTCTTTTTCATGTGGGCAGGCACCCTTGGGATTCCTCCATAAGGTAACTTCACTTTTGTCGGATCATGTTTTTTTTTACGCTTTTTGTTTGTGTGATTCCAATTCTGTTCATTTTTAGTAGGGCTGCAACAAAACCGCCCGTTTTTTATATTTTATTTTTTTTAAAACAAACCAAGGGTTCTAAAGGTAAGTCCTCAGCTTACTCACTGGACTCCAAATGCGTCACTCGCCCGTCACTCGCCTTCGAAAAGGGGTTGGAGCGAGCCAGGCAACAGCCTGGCATGCTGTTTCCTTCACAAAACAAATCAACATATTCATCTACATTTAACAGCCTGGCATGCAGTACTCATCTACATTTGGTCATGTTCTCATTTGGAAAGTACTCTCGCAGTACTTTCGGTTGTTCATGTTCTTTAATGCTGTCATGATTTTCCAATGTTGAATATGCTTTAACCAATCCATCTATCGGACCCTGTGGATCCCAGCTACAAAGTAGGCAACCCTTCGCCATGTTCCTCATGTTGCTAGCCTGGTTTGCTTGGTTACATACTAGAAAACAGGGAAATGGAATCACTGGGTGATCCTATTCTTCTTTGAAGGTCCGGAGATTTGGGCGTCAAATGTGACACCCGACCTGCAAGTTCCCATGCGGAATCTAGTGAGAACCTGCTGTGGTTTCCAGTTTGAAACCAAACAGAACAAGGCTCCCCCAGAAAGGTACGGGTGTGTTGAGGGCACCTTGTTCGCTTTGGGCTTGAGGCTGACGAAATTCTGGTCAGAAGAAGTGGGAAGCCCAAAGTTCGTGGCCCATCCGTTCAGGTGAGAAATAAGAGACTCCTAGGCGCAGGGAGCACGGGGACCTGTTAGTTGACAGGCTGAGACCAAGTTTCAGGTAACCCTGAAGTGCTGCTTCGGATTGGAAAAAAGCCGGGGAACCGCCTCCTCACCTGTAAACCCCCAATCCCTCACTCCATGAGTTCCTGGACTTTAACTAGCAACTGTTTGGGAAGACCAATCTTTTGTGGCAAACCAAACGTCTGGGTACGTTTTTTGGGCAGTCCACTCAGGAAGCGGGAGAACCGAACCACCTTGTTCGAGGGAAGCAGTTTGTTTTTCCCCCCCGGATTCCAGGCGTGAAGCATGGCGCGGCTCTCAGAGGTTCGGTCAAGAGATGGGACCCTCCAGAAAGGCACCCCCATGTCTAGTTGAAGGTTTCGTTCAGAGCGACTGGAAAGAACCGAGCTCTACATGTCCCACACAAATCCCCGGCAGAGCCGTTTATCGGATGATGACCCCAACTTCTGGTGATCGAGACAAAGTGATGGAGTAGTCATGTGAATTAACCTTCCATTTTCTGAAATGGCTGTGGCTCAAAAAAACGGTATTAACATGGAACCCTGGCAACTGGAAACATGGCCCAAAACTGCGTAACCCTAGCCATTTAATTTTGAGCCACACCCAAATGAGTATTTTTGTTTCCTTCTTGGTTTTTGAAGGCAATCGATTTCACGACTAAAGATACGACTTTTCCCAGGGGACTTGAGCAAATGGAATGCTTTGGCATCGCAAGGGTTATTGGGGTTATTTCAACCACCCCCGGTTCCCTAATTTCTGGCCGCGTTTTCCTGGCTGTGTCTAAGAAAAGCCCGAGCCCTTGGGCTTTTTTTTTGATCCCCCCACCTGGCGCAAGTTTTTTTTCTCCTTTGGGTGGCCCTCTCTTCAGCCACCCCAAAAGGCGTCACAGAAGAAGAAATCCAATTGGAGGTCACCCGAAGGCTTCAGGAACACGCGAACAGGTCACCCACACCCCGAACCAAAAGGACCCCAAGACCCCCGGCGCCCTCCGCCGTCCCCGGAAAAAAAAGAAGGACAACAACACAAACAAAGGTCAATTCAATCTCCCCCTTCCTTCCAAGGTGGGGCTTCAACACCCACCTTTTTTTGGGCAGACTGGCATCGAGGCCAAGAACACCATGAGATTTTGTCGACCCCTTAAGAAAAGTCAAATCAACAACTCCTTTTTGGCAGGGCTCCTTAAAAGATCTCCATTTTGCCCATCCATTTGAGACACGGCTGGCTTTTTCAAGACCAACATAAAGTTGGAAACACCACCATTTACAAGTTGCAATGTTCAGGTGTTTTTCATGTAAGGATCCCTGAAAAAGCACAAAGAAAACCTGAACCCCGAACGACCAATAAGCAACACCCTACATCACCTATGCCTGAACCCTGCGGTTTCCTTGGCCGTTTCTCCCACCAACCAACCAACTGCTGCCCTGGATGTTGTAACCACCCAGTCTATATCAGACCTAGATTATCTTAGGCCTAGCATGGGGGGTGTCTTTTTGGGCGAATAAACCCCTTTTCGGTTGGCTTGAAGGGAAGTTCAAACCACCAATTCAGGAGGGCCCCTACTCTTCGGCCAGCCCACTGCGGATGGTGATCCGAAATCCATCCGCTTCTCGCGCCTCAAAGTTTCAGAAACCCAACGGTTTCGAGTCGCTTCCCCGACGTAAACGCCAACAAGCATTATTGCTCTTCATGGTTTCACTTCGGTGCGGCGCGACATGGATTTCGCAACCATCCGCAGCAGGGAGACTCCCAACAACTAGGGAGACATGCCGGAGGACGGCTTGCTGCGGGATGAAGATGGGGATTCTCATGGGTTCAAACAATTTGGCTATGAATTTTAATAGGGAACCCCCTGAAAAGAGGTCGGAGGAGATAAATCTCCACCGAAATGATGTCCACCAAAGGTCCCTAATTGTAATTCATACCCATTTGAGCCACTTGCTCAAAACCGATTCGGGTAGATGAAGGTTAAGGGGCAGTCCGAGCCAGAAGAACATCGGTGCGGAATTCCGCCTTTCAATTTCCTGGCATGGATTTGGGTAGACCTTTTTGATACCAGGTTTTGATTGTGACTCATTTGTTCTCCTGGGATTCTTTATCGCTATGTGGCTGTGGCTCAAAAAACCGGTGTCAAAACGGAACCCTGGTAAGTAGAAACATGGACCAAAACCTGCGGTTTGCCCCTCCTGCTTAATTTTGAGCCACGCCCATGTGGTAACGGATTTTTGGGACTGTTCAATTTGTGGTTGACACTTCTTTTCCTTTTTTTTAAAAATAAATAATTTAAAAAAAAAAAAAAATGTTTTTCGGATTTCCCGCCTTGGACCCACAGACAGGGCTTTCGACTTTTTGCAGAGGGGTCGCTGCGGCAACCAAGCAAACATGTCGTCAGCTTCCCTGGAGTTTCCTTCTGACCCTTCCAACATGGGGGAATTCCATGACCCCCTTTCATTTTACCAGTGACTCAAAGTGAAGCAACCAGTAAGATATAGATTCTATAACTGGGCCTAACTCTAATCATCTTTAATGCATGATTTTCCAATGTTGCATTCCCTTTAACCAATCCATCTATCAGACCCTGTGGATTCCAGCTGTCTTGTAAGCAGCTTTTGGGTAATGACCCCGATCTTTTTTGACGGATACTCTAGGCGACTTTTAAAAGGGGTCGCACAAACGGCTGCCGCCTCATCCACCTTAGGAAGGCGGACCAGCGCAAGCATGGCCGCCGAGGAGAGCTGGATGAAGTTGGCTTCAGAAAAATCCCGTCCCGTGTTTTTGTTTTTCCTTTCTGAAAGCCAAGCACATCCTGGAGGGTTTGAAACCATAGATGTGTTTGGCGGAAAAATAGAGGGCGATCCTGGTTTACCTGGTGGTTTTTTCTCATCTACCAGTAAAAGGACACCAATGTTTGGAACATTTGTTTGTTTGTCTCGGAAAGCCGAGCACATCCTGGAGGGTTTGGACCCCCGTGGATGGTTGCGAAATCCAAATCCATCCTCTGGTTTCTGATTCGCTTCCCCGACGTAAATACCAGCGAACGGCAAACGGCTTTTTTCATTCCCATGGCTTCGTTTCGTGGGGCGGCGAAATGGATTTTGTCCACCCACCCACAGGTAGGGAATCAACCCTCCGGAGCGAGCGGGTGTTGAATGCACCGGTTTTGGTTTTGGGGATTCTTTGAAGGGAAACCCGGCGAAATGGGGGGGGAAATGGAGTTCATACTGCATCCACAGTATGAACAGCGGTTGAGAAACGCGCGCCGAAGAATCCTCCGACTGTTGCAAGGAGTTGGTCCTTTTCCAGAATTTCCCCAGATTTTGTTGCTGCATCCACAGTACTTCTGATGCCTTTTGTTGCTGCTTCCGTCTTGGGGCGGTCTTCAAGGGACACTGAAGCGAACATCGCCCATTGGGGGGGTCCCCTCTGTCAAGCCAGACCCATAGTTTTGAAGAGTGTCAATAACAAAATAGGAGTCAAGGAAGAAGACGAAGCGGAAGAAGAACTGATCAGCTTTACGACTTTCAAAGTGGGAATTGGTGGGCGGCGAAATGCAAGGTGTGACTCCAAATCAACAACCAAACTCTCGCCACCCAAGGAGCGTTTGTTTGTGCAATGGCCTTGTCTTTTTCTGCGGGTACCCTCTTTGGGTTGTTTGCAAGCGAAGCCAAAAATGAACATCCGTATTTTCGAGCGTTCTTCTCTCTGTCTCTCTCGCTCTGAGTGTGTTGGTTTGAGACTCAGAAGGAAATCCCACCACATAGTAGTATATATATATATATATATAAACATATATTGGGGGGGGGGGGAACCCCTATTGGGAGGTGTCTCTTTTTTCCCGAGGCAACCCCTATTTGGTGGTTTTTACCGGGAAGTCAAAGTGGCCAAAAGGACCATAGTTGGTGACCTACCCCGGGCCCCTGTGGATCCCAGGCAAGCCTATGTAGTAGGCAACCCCTCGATCCATTTGTCCCTTGGCTTCTCAAAAACTGGCAAGCCCTTCATGACCTACTTTGCGCAGAAACATGGACTCACCGGGTAAAATCCAACCAAGTGTCTAACCCCAGTGATCTCAGTTGTTACCTATCTCACTGGGTAAAATCCAGCCAAGTATCTAACCTCAGTGATCTCAGTTGCCTACAAACCCGACACATTATCTCAGTTGCCTACAAACCCGACACATTCAATCACTTGGTTCCCTTCTTTTGCCAGGGAACCCAATGAAACTGGTCACCAAGGTGCCTAAAACAGGTCATGTGAGCTTGATGCAATGGCACTCGTAATCACCGAACACCTTTTCTTGCAGAGGTTCCACTTTGCTCAACTCACTTCCTGAGTTCAACTTGAAAAGTGAGTCAAGAAAAATGGAGCTGGGTTTGTTTCTATCTCCTCCCGCGCCTTGCCATCCTGGGATCCTTTTCTTTTGGTGGCAGGAAGGGGAGCGCTGATGAGCTGAGGCCGTCGAAGGCGCGCGAGTTGGGTCGCGAGTCATTTGGTGAGATGCGGCGGAGTAAAGTCGGTCCCAGTTCCGCTTACCTGCTTTGGTACCCCCAAGAAGCGGCCGTTTTTGTGGAAAGTGGGTCTTTCAACCATCTCGTTTTGTGTTGGTCTTTCAAACAGTCCCGTTTTTAAGTTCTTTGTTTTTTTCAGTTCGCCCGCGGGGGGGGGGGGGGGGGAATTCATCAAGGGCCAGAAAGAAAAGGTGCCTTTCCGGTGGCCTGTGGATGTGTAAGCAAGGGCTTGCCTCCCTGAAGAAAAGGAAAGGACGCATGGCTACCTAGCACAAGGGTCACCGGCATTCCCTGGGTTTGAAAAACCCTCCCCCAACATGGAAGTTTCCAGGACCCCGAAATGGAAGACTTGGTTCCATTTACAGAGGTCTTCTGCGAGCTTCCATGGTTAGTTTGAGGGAGAGTAGGGATCCAACACATGGTTGTGAAGGATCATCACTGCCAGATGACCGGGCCCCTGCTAACCCCAAGTAAAGGAACCGGTCTCTCTTAACCATGGCACGACCCAAATGTGGTTAGCCATCCAGAAATCGTACCAACTCAAGCAGAAGACACATCCAAATTGCTCATGTTGTTGTTTTTCTTTTTTGACTTTTTGCCAACAATGGTACCAACTCCAAAAACAACAGGTGGAGGAGCACTCCGCCCGCACCGCGACGCCCGGAAGCTGAGGTTCACAGGGAGGCTGAGTTGGGCGTTGGGTTTGTCTCAAAATAGACCCCGCCGCAAAAAAGTTGTCTCAAGAAGAAAATCGAGAAGCACAAAAAGTCACACACACAAACACAACTTGGATGCTTTCCTCTTTTCTTCCTCTTTTCTTCGACCCCTATTTGTAAAGGGCACCCTCAAAAGCAGACAGTCGTTTGGACCTTGGCTGCCAAAGAGCGGACGGACGGTGCTTCATGGAGATTTATCGAGAAACTTTCCGATTGGGTCAACGTTCGGCATCTCAAGCATTAGAGTGACTTATAAGTGGCTTATAGCCGGGTTGTCAACAACTTCCTTGCTTGGCTGAACACCCAAGTGGTTTGCCATGTCAATGAGTTGTGCAGTTGATTCACAAACACGCTCGTGAATCAAGGGCGCATCCCATTGCTTGTTCCGCCCACAGGCGAACACAGACCGTTTTGTATTGGCTGGACAGCAGGGTTCCAAGAGGCTTCTGAAATGTAGGTCAGTGACTCGTTGCCTGAAGCCAGTTTCCAACCATCTTCCATTTGGGATGCAAGCTGCCGTTTTGCCTCAAGGATGGATATGTGCAAGGATATGTCAACTTCGGATTCATCCGCAGGACCCTGCTAGAAGAACTGTCAAAATAGATAGCTTCCGGACTGAAAGGCTAGCCACCCCTTGGTACAGCCCTTGGATTCACTCGATAGCATCGCAAAGCAATGGAGTCCCATACTTTTGGGAAACATAATTTTTCTCCCAAAGCTGGGGGACAGTCGCATACTTAGCGCCAAGCGGGACTTAAACAAAGTGGCTACAGCAAGTGACTCCCAAAGCAGTAGACCGGGTGCGGACCGGTTGTTTGAGCCAACACATGCCCAAAAAAAGGCTTTCGTGTTGTTGACCAATTTGGGTATGTATCAAAATAGGGGCACCTTCCAAAGTAGGTAGTTGTCATTCTGGTTTCTTTTCCAAAAAGGGTACCCGTGCACAAACATGGAACCTCACAGAAAATCCTTGGACGATTTTCCTTTGAAAGTGACCATTTCCTTGGTGGGTTCCATGTGAATGGACCACAGGGTACCACCGAGGCCCAGCTCGTCCAAGGATGGCGCCGGGTCCCCGATCTTGGTGCTTGGGTAGGGACGAAGAAACAAGCAGGCGGATGACCATTTCATGGGTATGTGTCATTTGCTTCGCACACACGCAAGAATGGGTATGTGTCGTCCTATGTGTGTTCCTTTTGCTTTCTCTTTGAACCACGCCTGAAAATGGACATGTTCATCCCAGTCGACCCCCCTGGTGGATATTGATTGGGGGGTGTCCCCTTTTAAGGGATTCAGACCACTTTTGGAGGAGCTTTCCCCCCCTACACTAGTTACCCGCACTTACGGGGCAGCCGAATGCTTCCGCGCGCTTGACTCTGAAGCGAAGCTGGACGCGCTGGGAAACTTGCCGCTGTACAGCTACGAGTCGCAGTGCATGGCGGATGGATGACTGGTGGGATGTCCTGAATGCACACATGATGGGCTGTGGCATGCATGCGCGCTGTCAGTCCCGGTCGGCGGGCAGGAACACATCAGACCCCAGCCGAATGATCTCGTCGCCTGCCGGCATCTCGCACTTGGATGGCACAGGGCGGCTATGGAAACTCTGCGTTTCCTTTTGGTTCTGAACAGGTAAACTGTGTCCTGTGGCTACATGTGTAGCCATGTGTAGACTCACATTCTCCCAATGGATCCTTTTTGGTTCCCTCACTTACCTACTACACAGGTAAATGGATCCAATGTGATAACGGCTGTTGGTATTTACGTTGGGGAATCGAATCAGAAGCCGGTGGGTTTCTAAATGCTGGTGCGACATGGATTTCGCAACCATCCGCAGTGGGCTTGTTTCAAAATAGGGACCCCCCCCGTTAATTGGTGGATTGAAACTTTCCTTTAAACCAGCCCACAAGGGGTCCCTGCCAAAGAAGACACCCCCATGTTAGGCCTAAGATAAAATAGGTCTATTTTGAAATGGGTCCGGGAGTAAACGATGTGTCAGGCCCGTGTAAAAGAAACACGGGGCCAGACATGCCCATTGGCTGACTGATGACTGGAAACCTCAATTTTTGCTCATGTGTACGGGTTGTCCGAGACGACGTAGCCCAATGTCATTCACCTACAAAAAGACACCCTTTTATCGGGTAAAGCAGTTGGTTTTCCAAGCAACAACCCAGTTTAACCAGGTCTTTGGAAGGTTTGGGAATTGAAACAGGAACCGAACCTACTATGTGTTGTGCCAGGCTGGGGGCACGAAAAAAGGTTGCGGTGCGCACTACCAATGGACCTTAAACCAGTGCTTGTCAAGACAAGGATATGGAGGCCACAAAACTGAAGGTGTCCCTTTCAATAGGAACCATACCCTTCCCTAAGAAAAACACATTTTGTGGAAACATTTTGTTGTACTCTCCCATTCGCTTCGCAAATGGAGGTATTGAATCAGCCCATCCTGCTCTAGAACAGGCATTAGTCAGAATCTGGAGCAACCCTTCGTGCTTCTTGCCAGGTTCGAATGTTGACCCCTCCATATCAGTTGGTATGAAGCCGTGTTCCCCTCCAAATCAGGGCTGTGGGGAATGACCACTTCTGTGATACAACAGAAAGGGCTTCCCAAAGACTATTTTTTTCATATAAAGGGGGATTGTCCTGTATCACAGAAGTGGGGCAAAACCTCGTGATCCCACAACCCTGCTCCAAATTGTTGGAATCAACTCCAGATCCCAGTCAAGTAGGTTCCTGGGGTTCCTCAAAACAGCAACCAAAACCGATTCGGGGATTGATGAAGCTTACAGGACGATCCCCTTGCCATAGCTGCGGAAATCTCCGCCTTCCTAGCTCTTTACATGGTTCTGGGTGCACCATTCTTGTACCAGGTTTTGATTATGACTCATATGGATGCGTTTTGTTTTTCTTCCGGAACTGGACTTGGATTTGGATTGGAGCCCATCTTGAGCAAGTGAGAAACCCACCAAGTCCAAAAACCGGGCTCCAAACCACCGTTCGGGCTTCAGGGGGGCCCGGCCGGGATGGGCATCCGATTTTGCCAGCCCCTGGATTTGGGCGCCAGCTCGTTTTAGGGGATCCTCCACGACGCAACAGGGGGTTCCTGTTGGTTTCCCAAACAAACACAGGGAAAAGTTGGCGCCAAGCCCAAGAAGCAGACGCAGCAATCTGGTGCTTCAAGGACACCCCTCGAAGTTTTTTCGGGCAGGCCATTTGGGCATTTGTTGTTCTGATTTCCCAGCCCAAAGGGAAACCCTCTGGAACCGAATCTGAGAAGCCCAGACCAGCCTTGGCCGACCGCTTCGGGCAGAGATCAGACCGCTTGAAAAGCCTAAGAAGCTCGGGGAAAAGGGTAAACAACTCCCAAAATGAAAACAACCCCCTCCCTTTTGACGAACAAATGGTTGGATATGTTGGTGAATTGGTGGATTGGTGAATTGGTGGATTGGCGGATTGGTGGATTAACAAATAACATCAACCCCTCAAATTGTAGGTGGATTGGTGAATTCCAGTTGATTTCCTAATTCTCTCCATCCCAAATCAGCTCCGAAAAACGCAAAAAGCCACCCATTGCCCTTTGGAAGTCCCTGCTTGCCCAAAACGGGAATTCACGTCGAGCGATTCCTTGCTAAACCTCCGCCAACCGCGATCCCGCCAGCTCCGCGACGCGGCCAGCCGGGGACCGAGCCCGATGCCGGACCGAGCCCATTGGGATGCGGAAGCTCCAAATGAGCCACCCATGTGGCCAACTTGTCGTTTTGGGGGCCAAGTTTCAAAAATTTCAACAGCTCGGCCAGGGCCCAGAGATTCGGAGTGTTGACGCATGGCATACAGACGCGAAATCAACCCCAACAAAAAGAGGCCCAAGAAATGGTATCCATTTGAGTCAAACTCAAAACCCGGGGATTGATGAAGGTTAGCAAGGGACAATCCCCTTGCTGTCAAGAGCTGCAGAAATCCGCCTTTTTGATTCTTTGCATGGCTCTGGGATTACGACCATTGACTCAAATGCCCACGCTGGGTGTTTCTCAACACAGAAGAGCCCCGAAAATGGCGTAACAGTGTCCGGTTGGCTTCCCCCTATGCTTGACTGCTATTGGGTTGGATCTTTAGACTTTAACTTTTTGGGAAATCAAGGGGGTTTCCACTAAACCACCAAAAAGTTAAACTTTTTGCAGGGGGGTCAACAGCAACCAAGTATGAATACCAACTAAAAAAGAGCCACCAGTTTGAGAAAAACTCCCACCTGACCTACTGTGGATGGTTGCGAAATCCGTTTGCACCACGAAATGAAACCATGGTTGAAACCATTGTTTGCTGGTATTTACAGGGGACATCATCATTCCAGGGTTTCTTAGGTGGTGCAGGAGTTCGTCCATCCTCAGTATGTTCAAGTTATGTTTTTGAAGAGCCAGGCTTTCCAAGGAAAATCACGCCTAACCTTTGTTTGTCACTTGGCTGTCCGTTTTCAGATCCCCTGCCAAGAGTTTAACCTGTGGGTTAAATGGCGACCAAAAACAGAATTAAAACATCCAAACATCGAAGGAATCGGATGGCTGTGAACCAGGAGTTGACATGTGCCTGCTAATCCGCTGAAAATTGGTCGGGGGTCGGAGGCTCCCAGCAGCAAGACTTTTGAGAGCTTTTTGCATTGGTTCTTTGGTTCTTGGTGTCGTTCAGACAAAGTGATCTTCTTTGCCAATACGCAGAAACTGATTCCAGCGCTCAACACTGCCTTGTTTTTTTTTTTTTTTTTTTTTTTTCTCCTTTTTTTCTTTGGGCAAGAAGCTTTCTGGGTGAATTCAGCCACCAGGAATGGCATCGTTGACTTAGTTGGCATTGGGCACATGATACCCGAGAATACTGTGGATGGTTTCAAAATCCATTTCGCACCACCTAAGAAACCCTGGAAGGATGATTCCTCTGCAAATACCAACAAACGTTATGGTTTCAACCATGGTTTCATTTCGTGGTGCGGTTTATGGATTTCGCAACCATCCACAGCAGGCTCTACCCGATTGGGGCTTAGCATTGAGGTCTCCACATCTTAGTAACCCACAGCTGACGTCTTGCGCCTGCGGCCTGGGAACCGACATGAGGTTGATGTTTCAATCCCCACCCCCTTGAGCATGGAGTTGTGGCAGGCTGACTCCTGGGATTCAGCTTATGGTTCCATGTTCGCTTGTATGGGGAAGACGAGAGACATGAAATGGACCTTTGCACATTGTTCTGGGGTCATGATTTTGACAGTTCTTGAGGGTCAAAGTCGGAACCTGGTTGGTTGTTTCCCTTTTGACCTACCACTTGGGTGATTTTGACGGTGACATCATGGGGCCGCTGTTTAAGCATTATTGAAGCAGGTGTACGTGCGAATCTTTTCGGCAAAGCCGCACCCCAAAACAGACCCGAGCCAGTGCATCCATGTTCCCCTTTGCTGGCCAACTGATCATGCCCATTGCCAAACTCAACTAACCTTTGCAACTCTTGCCCTCATTGGTTGCCTTCCATTTGCTTAGGAATATGTTCTAGTTTCCCTTGTTGGTTTTAAAGGGAATCTATCACTACTGGACATATTTTAATATTTTTCCCGGGGGCTGAAATTCGCAAATGGAAGTTGTCCTTCATGTCCCTTTCCCTCTTTTTTTTTGGGCGCCAGCGGGCCCGGATCCGTGTCTTCCGAGCCGTCCGGATCGATCCGAGGCACGCTGGATCGCCCCAGCGGCACGGAGCGTCTCAGCGGCACGGACAGACACAGCGGCACGGACCGGCCCAGCATCATCTCCAGCGGCGGGGGAAGGGGTGACGTTCTCGTTCGGTCGAGTCGATGCAAGGCTTCCTTTTCTCTGAAAACGAACTCTTCCTGAGTTGCTGGGTATTTGTTCGTCACTGTTTTGGGTGGTTTTTGGTTGCCATTTGAGTGGCAAACCAACAGTTCGGGTACTTCTTCTGAGCAATCCACTCAGGAAGTGAGAAAAAGGGGCAGATGGGTCAAATCCCCGAGCCGAAAGCTATGGTCTTTGCCCAGGCTCCAGGGTTCCAGAGGCTTTCAGAGGGCTCTTGGGTTCCGGATGGTCCGCGGTTGGGGCTACCACCTCTTCGTTTTTTGTTGCGTCCCTCTAAAATTTGGGGTTGTGGTTGATCACTCGGGGTTTTTTCAACCACTTCTGTGATACTTTTGGGAATCTCCCTTATGGGGTGAATTAGTCTTTGGGAGGCCCTTTTTGTTGTATCACAGAAGTGGATTCCATTTCAACCACAGCCCTGAGCTGCTGTTTTCCAAGGTCTTTGGCCCTCGAAAGATTCGGATCGGGTCTTGGAGTGCTTGGAAGTAGGTCTCGGCAAATCAGCGGAAGGGGCGTGGTGGGTGCGGTTTTTTACGCTTTTTATGGGCGCGTCTTTGTTTCAAGGCACCCCCTCCCCAAATTGGCCTCGGCTTCCTTTTGGTGTCCTTCTCCCCCCCCCCCCAAAAAAAAAGAGAACAAAACACAAGTTTGAAGGGCCAATGTCCAGGGAAGCCTTCTTCGATTCCTCAGTGGTTTGAGGACCCTTGAAGTCCCTCGAAATGGCATGAGCATCTTATTTCTTAAGCCATAGCTTGGGCAAGACATGAGGATGGCATCCGTACACGACTTTTAGGATGTTGATATGCTGGTGCTCCGTGACAAATTCCTCCTTTTGTAGTCCGGGGTCGAAAAAGGAACCCTTGGTTGGCTGGCCAGCCAAAGTTGGAAAACCAGCCCACCAGCCCGGCCAAAGAGCCGGGTATTCTCCCTATGCAAGTCAGGGTTTCCCGCATCTTTCTTGGAACCTCCAACGTGGAATTCGATCAACGGAACCACAAGTAAATGATCAGTCAATTGATCAACATTTGATCTTGGGGAAATCCGTTTCAATGGAACCACTGGTAACTTGATCAACATTCGATCTTGGGGAAATCCGTTTCAATGGAACCACCGGTAAATTGATTGATTTTGGACTTCTCCAGCTGACCCATGTCCTATTTGGCCACACATTTGGAGACCTAGTTTTCTTTGGTGCATTTTGGTTGGATGTTAGGACTTCATCTTTTTGCCAACTAATACGTTTTCCGTCAAACCGCTAAAAGTTATTTTCACTTTTAGCAGGGCTTCGCAGATTTCGCCGCCGAGTTTGGTCCGCGACTGCCAGGCACAAGCAACCGCAGCGGCGGAGGCGGAGGCGGAGTGAACGGCCTGGGCGTGGCAAAGGCGGGCTCCGTGGGCAGCCTCGGCCGGGCGAAGAGCGCGGCGGCGAGCGCCGGGGCGCCCGAAACGCGCCCGGAGGGCGAAGCTTCGAGGGCGGAGGCCGCTGGCATTGGCATAAGAATATGTTTTGGTTGTTATTGTTCTTGTTCTTCTTCTTTTTTTTTAAAGAAGAAAACTACTATCATTCTGTTCATCTCTTGGTTTAGAAAATTAATTTGGTTTTTTCCAGGCTCCAGCAAATGCAAGAAGCGGCCGGCTGGGTCGGTGCGAGAGATGCGGGAACGAGACATGGAATGACTCTTGAGCCATCCAACTGGTGGTTTCCTTTAAGGGGATTCCTTCCGGTTCATTCCACATTCCCTACAGCACCAGCAAGTCTTTGGAGCTTTCGGAGCGGGGCAAGGTTGGGTCAAGCAACTGGCTGTCCTCTTTTTTTGGGGGGGGGCGGTTTGAGCCCAAATTATGTCAAAGACCACATGTGAATCCGACTCTGTGCCAAGCTTTGGGTTTGCGGAGTGCTTTTGGTCAGTTGCGGGTGAAATTCCCAGGAAGCACGTGCTCTAGTTTTGAAGACCTTGATATGCTCTGCTTGTTTCTAGGGGGGAAGGATGTGTCATGGACCCCTAGAGTCTATGTTGCAGCCAAGAACCCTTACAAACCAATTCTCTAAATGAAGGAGGCTGCAAATAGGCCCTGAGTCTCCATCATGGGGCCGGGGGGCAAGAAGGTGGGGCCCCTGGCACGCTTCGAAGGTTTCTCTTGGTTGCAGACCAACTTTTCCAGGGCTTCCTTGCATGCACTCCATCTGGTTCCTAGCTCGCGGAAGCCATGACTCATGACGATCAGGTGTATTGAGATCAATCTGGCCGCACCACTTTTTGGGCGTGTCTTTTATTGAAATCCCCGTGGCTTTTGTTTAAACATATATGTCCTTTTGATTTCCTTTTCACGCCAGCCAAAAAAGGGGCACCGAGCCTCAAACAAAGACAAGGGGTTCTTGGCATCTTCCCCACCCCACCAAAGTGCCAAAAAGCGACACGCACGGGGCACGGGCCAACCCTCGCTGGGTTAGCACGGAGGCAAACCGCCAGTCGGTGGACGCCAAGAGGTTCCCTCGGAAAGGCGAGCTTCCCCTTGTCTGGGGAAGAAAAAACCCGAGTTCCGGAGCTCGGACTTGAGTCACTTGGGTTTGGACTCCAGAGTTTCGTGGTAAGCAAACGAAAGTTTTGGACGTTTGGCCAGTGAACTTTTCTTTTTCTTTTGATTTTTATTTTTTTTTTACGTCGAATTGGACAGTTGTGCTGGGCGACTGATTTTTTCACGTCGAATTGGACAGTGGTGCCGCAGGAAGGCGACTCGGCCACAGGAATTTGACTCGTTGAGTACTGGCCAGTTCCCGTGGCTGCCCAAGGGCTTGTCTTAAGAAGGAATCGGAGCCCCAGGTTTTGGTCGGGTTCCTGACTAGGGTGTTCGGGCAACTTAGGAGGTTGTTGGTACAATCAAGTAGCTTAAGGAATCGGACCAGAAATGGTCGGGTTCCTGACCATGTTCGGGCAAAGGAAGTTGTTAGGTAACTTGCGGTTTTTCGCCCACTGACAAAGTGCCCCTAAGTGGGGTTAGCAGGGTTATGTTTCCAATGCTAATCAATTAGCTCGGGTCGAACATCCAAGTAGGCTGCCTAAACCAGTCCAGTTTGGGGGAATCCTGAAACAACGCCACGCCCAACTCCCTCCCTCGGAAGACTACCTCCAACCCTCCAATCGTCCGTCAGGCGACGTCTGCAACGGAGACATGGACATGGATCAGCTCTAGCTAAAATATTGGAGATCCCCTTACCTGGTTTCCTTTTGGCTTCACTTGGAAAACCGACCCAACAAGGGAAAAAAACATACCCCTACTCCAAATACCCGCTCTTGTTGGGGGTATGATGTCGGCCCTCTACAAAAAAGAGGTTTTTACCCTGGGAAACCAGGTTTTCCCAAAAAACTACCCTAACTTTTAGGGTATTTGGAGTGGGGATTCTACATTTCAACCAGAAACGCCAGACAATTCCTCCCTAAGTTTCCCATGGCGACTCTTGAAGCTTGCCCAGCCGATTGCTTCGCCGAGGCTTCGGCGAAGACCATCAAGACCCGCTGCAAGGCGGGTTCGAAACCGAAGGATCCGAGCGCGTGCCCGGTGGTCCAGTCTGTTTCTCTTGCAATTTTCACTTCCACAACGACTATTGTAAACATTTGTCAAAAAACAGTTTAACTGACGATTTATATCGATTTTTTCATATGTTTGAGTGTTGTATCATGCAGGGACAACATTTCTTGTGTAGGTCCCCCAGTAGTGCCCATGGATCCCCTTTTTGGGGGGAGGGTTTCTCCTACTAAAATAGACTACAGAAAAGGGTACCCTCTCTACTGGAGGACCTAGTTCGGGTGATTTGTCGAGCCCTGACTAACCTTGGCTGCTCCCAGCCGTCCTCTTATAGGTTTTGAGGATGTTAGGGCTTAGTGGGGGTTTCCAGTTTATCCACAAGTTAAACTTTTAGCAGGGCATCTGAGGACAGCCCAGATCTTTAGGGCATGATTTGCTGACTTCTAAAAAAGGAGGTATCATTATACCATGCGAACCACTTCCCCCCCCTTTTTTCTTCTTTTCGTTTTTTCTCCCCGTTTTTTGTCCCCCCCCCGAAGTACTACCCTGAGCAACACGGGTACTTGGAGGCCAGGACTCAGCTTCGAGAGTGTCATCGAAAGGGCTTCGGGTTCGCGCATCCGAAGCTGAGATCGTGAAGCTCATTCGAAAGCGGAGTGACTCGCCTCGCCAGGTGCCCTCTGACCGTTACTTTTTTGGGGAGGGTTCCCCTACTAAGAAAAGGGCACCCTTGTTCTAAACTCTCTACTGGAGGACCTAGTTGAGTTCCCAACAAAAGTGCAGGCTTCTTTGTTGAGGTATGCCGCAAGCTGCGCCCTGTTCACATGACCTAAGGCAAAAGAGAAGCAACTTGCAAACGTTGCAAGTGGCTCTTGATGGGCGAAATCCAGACACCGCACCAGGGATTAACTTTTTTGAACCGTGGCAGCCTGACCAAAGGAACGTATGATGCGAGTTCTTTTTCTTTTCTTTTTTTTTGGGGGGGTGGATTTGGATTTGAACCTTGGTTCTTTTACCGGGTTAACTGGGAAATCACCCCGTTTCACCGCTAAGCCGCCGGGCTCCAAACTAGCAATTAGTGGGAAACCATGTGAAGTGGGTTCCGAAGGTGTTCCTAAGCAAAGCTTTCGTCCAAACCCGATTGTCAGCTTCCATTGGAGCGAGGGAACCCCCTACTCCAAATACTTCGCCTGTTTTTTTTTGGGGGGGGATCATGTCAACCCTACGCTGAAGAAGGAGGTATCTATCCTGGGAAATCAGGTTTTCATGGAACATTACCCTTGAAAAGGTCGGTATTAGGAGAAGGTGGTGAAACGTCAAAGACGGTTTGCTTTGGTTTCCTGAAAAGCAGGCACCCAATCGACCGAATCGTCCCATTGATTCGATCGAATATCCGCATGGGTGAGATGAAACATATGGTTGGTTGGCTAGGTCCCCCAGTAGTGCCCTTTTACATGTTTTTGGGGAGGGTTCCCCTACTAAAATAGACAAGAACAAATGTACCCTTATTCTAACCTCTCTACTGGAGGACCTAGCTGGTGTACCGGCTGCTCCTTTGCTGTCGGAGCCAGCTCACAAGAGGTTGGTGGACATAGCTTGACAATCTAGAAGTCCAGTAAGACTCACCCTTACTCCGTACTCTAAATACCCGTGTTTGTTCGGGTGTCATGCCAACCCTTGCTACTAAAAACGGAGGTGTTTACCATGGCAAACCAGGTTTTCTAAAAACAAAACCATCAAACAAGCGGTAGGGGGTACAAAGTGACAAAGGACTTGAGTGTTCGGACAAGTTAGTAAGTTGTTGGTAACCTGCCCTGTAATTCAAAATCCTACAAAAAAGCGGGTTCCGAAACATAACCTGGTTTTCGACGCAGGTGCAGGTGCAAAGCCTGGTTTTTGCTGCCCACCCCCCTTTTTTGGTAGGTTCTTCGAGTGCCAGGCCAGGCCATGGGTTATTACCAACTTGAACAGCCCGCAAAGTGGGGTATGGCCCTGTTCGTGGGTGGGACAGCGATCCCCGCCTTCCAAGTAGAGAGACGGACAGAAAATCCCAGTGTGGTACTGTGGGTGGTTGCGAACTTCGGCACTGCAGCTATGGTTTGTTGGTATTCGCAGGGGAGTCATTATTCCGGGGCTTCTGAACGGCATGGATGTCGATGGACGAAATCCATTTCGCACCACCGAAGAAACCCTGGTTTCTGATGATTCCTCTGTAAATACCAACAAACGTTATGGTTTTCACCATGGTTTCAAAGTGGTGCGAAGCGGATTTCGCAACCATCCACAGTATCACACGGACGGTGTCCCAAACCGTCCGCGCCAAAGCGAGCGAGCCCCGCGCAAGCCGCTGAAGCCGTGAGGTGATGATGGCGCCGGTGAAGAGGCTCGAGACGGGGCCAAGGGTGAAGTGGGAAATGATCCGGGGTGCCTTTTTTCCGGGGTCCCCCTCGAAATGGGGTGCCAATTCCAAGGAAAGATAGACCCTCATACTGTGGATGGTTGCGAAATCCATTTCGCACCACTTTGAAACCATGGTTGAAACCATAACGTTTGTTGGTATTTACAGGCGAATCATCAGAAACCAGGGTTTCTTAGGTGTGCAGTTCAACTGAGCTTTTTAGCCTTTTAGTGTTGAGTGGTCGTTTCCCAATTTAATCCACTAAAAGTGGCTAACTTGAGGGCAGCCCAGAAAAGGTCCTTTGCGTGGGATGACCATGGGGGAACACCACCAGCAAAATAATATTTCCCACAAAATGGGAGAAGTTACCCATGGCTATTTGGGGGCCAGTCATATTGATCAACCCCCCATATTCCAAATAGTATGACCGCTTGGGGGCAACATGTGTAATTCTGATCGTGGCTCATTGCAGCTTAGCAGGGAACCCCAAAAACTGTAGAGGCACCCCTTTTTGGGATTTTTTGTGGGCTCCACGTTTATTTGTACTTGGATGTTCGATTCCCCAAGCTAGTAATGTGTTTAGCCACTTGGGGTATAACCCCCAGTATGAGTCCCCTAAGTGGGTCAACGTTTGGGAGCATCTTACATCTTTGCCCACTATGAGCAAGGAAAAGGTTTGCGTCCTAGCCCAGTGATTTCAAGGGAACCAAACCTTTAAGAAGCCAAAGAGGATTGGGCGAGGTGTAGAGTGGAAGTGGGTAAGGACGACTGCCACCAATGGGATGATAGATGGCCTTTGGCGTTCGGTTCCATCCGTAAGGAACCCTGCCCTTGGGGTTACGAAGGTAGTTGTTGGGGGTTGAGAAGCATGATAGCCCGGATGGACTTCGGACCGCAAAGTGCATGGTTTCTTTGTGGCAACACGGTGTGACCCAGCCCAAGAAAAGACACCGCCTGGTATCCTACCCACTCGTTTTGAAAGGAATGACATGAACTCCCTGGCTAGAAACAGAGGTGTTTACCATTGAACCACAAGCACCGTTTTTTGAAACATACCTTGAAATAATTCGGTACCACCTGCACTTGGTAGGTGGTTTAGCCCAGTTGTTTTTGCGTCCGACTGGGCAACGCGTGACGTGTCAAGAATTGCAGCACTGCGGAACTGGTTCACGTCATGAGCCTGGACAACACATCAACCAGGTCCGCCTCTCTTGGCTGACCTTGGCCTTTCAGCAGAAGGGTTCCTGCCCTTTGTTTTTGTAGGTCACCCGAGACAAACTCGCTACATGTCCGCTAGAAAGGCCTGTTCGGCGGGCCGAGTTCCTCCTTGAACCCCAAGCCCAGTGTTCCTTCCCTCTGGTTTCTTCCATTTGCTTAAGAACATTTGCTTTTTTATTACTTTAATCTCTTGGTTTTAAAGGGAGTCTATCACTATCTATCACTACTGGACATATGTCTTTTTTTTTTTCCAGGGGGGCTTAAGCAAATGGAGGCTTCCTTTGGGTGATTCCTCCGCGTAGATGGTTTCCCATTTAATTTCAAAGCAAGAAAACAAATGTCCTTCAAAACAACCCAAACAAATTGGGCCCTAAACCACCCAACAAATGGCCGTGTCCTCCAAAAAAAAAGAGAAAAGAGGACCGCCTTCGCCCCGTGGATCTCGAGGCTTTGCTCCTTCATTGCGGAGCACAAGGCCTACGTCTTCGCCGCTCGGAGCGGAGTTTTTATCTCCTTCGAGGCCGCGAAGTGGTGTCTGGAACCAACCAGGACCCCCGAAAGCTGCGCATAGTCCGGCGTTTTTTTTGGTTTTGCGAGGGAAATTTTGCGGGGCAAAAAGAAGAAGCGGTGGTTGATTTATCGAAAATATTGTGTTTTTGTGGTCAGGCGATTTGTTTTGCAAGGCTTTTTGGGAAAGAAGAAGAAGAAGAAGCAGAAGAAGAAGAAGAAGAAACAGTGGTGTTTGATTTCGAGAATACCGTGTTGTTGTTTTTTGGTCAGGGCTAACGTGCTGGAAGAGGTCAAGAGGTATTCAGAGCATAGCTTCGGAGCTTGGGAGGGGGTTGCTGGCAAAAACGCCTGAGTCACGTCCTCAAAGCCGATTCGGGCAATTGAAGCATAAGGGACGCTCCCCTTGCCAGAAATGAATTGGTGCGGAGAATTCCGGGCTTTTTCTGGAATTCTTGAAAGGATGGTTCTGGGTTCACCATTGCTCCGATCGGTTTGATGGCCCAGGAACCAGCGACGTTGTGGTTATCTGTGGTTCTCTCCCAAGATTTGCTTCCCCTGCTGGTTTTAAAAGGAATTTGTCACTACTGGACATATTTGCTCATTTTTTTCGAGTGGTCTTAAGCAACTGGAAGTTTGGGATGCCCCATTTCATGGGAAGAATGGCGACGGGTTTTTCGGGAGGGGTTCGCCTCAAATCCCAAGGTCGGCACCTTCATCACTGTCTGGGCACTGCTAGGCCTCGATCGTCGGAAAATATAGATCGCCTCGAGCGCTTCGGATTGATGGGTTTCCACCCATCCATTCCCAGGTCCATTTGCCTGTACCTAGAGTCTCCTTCTGACCCTGTAAAAATGGTTGGTCATTACCGAAAATTCAGGGGTGGCCCCTTTTTCCAGGGGTCATGGAGACTCCAGGTACAGGCAACCAATAAAACCCTTGAAACATCTCCCTGGCTTCAACCCGTTTTTCAGAAGGCTGGATCCATTTTGACCGGCATTGGCAACCAGGGCAAGCTAAACTCCCATCGGATCTGCTTCGGTCCTGGTGTGCTGTTCACTTTGGGTTTCAACCCCTTGTTTTAGCAGGTCATTTTGTGGCACCCAATTTGGCCCAAACAAGCGAAGCCAAGAACACTACCCTCCCACCAACTAACATGGAAGTGCAAGAAGGCCCTTTTCCAGAGGAAAAGGTCGTCTTTCATACGGGGGTCCGAAGGCACAAACCCATGTCAGCTGGTGGGAGTGGTACCCGGCTCTAAAAACCAAAAGTAACTTTTTGGCCAAGGGTTGCCTGCTAGAAGGCGCCAGGGGCCCCGGATCGGCTGACTTTTTGTTTCCTGGAAGCTTGGGGATCCAAGCGACAAAAGAAGAAGAAGCGTCGGACAGCTCGGGGTCGGGTCCATCTTTTTGGGGATCCCTGGCGTGGCCCGTTGGTCTTTTTGTTGAGAGGGATGGGCGAAATGCGAGTCAGAGCTCCTGTTGGACAGACTGCCAGCAGCTGAGGCCTGAAGCCTCTCGCACGGAAATGTTTGGGGGCTCCCAAAAGAAAGGCGACGCTCAAACTGTGGTTTTTATCACCGCAGGTACCGCTAGGTTCCCAGGGATTCTCCCTTAGTGAAATCAAGTGGGTTTTCCTGGTTGCCTCATGTCTAGCCCCCAGGTTGGCCGTTTTAGTCTCTAAAGATTCCCAATTGGCCCTTGACAACTGGCTGGTTGAGAGGTTGGCATCATGTCACATGCTTTGGGCTCGTTCCCCTTTAAGCCGCCACTGGCAATTCAGGGACGCCGCCTCAATGGCTTTCTTCTTCGCCAGCCTAGTTGGCAAGTGGTACTGTGGATGGACGAAATCCTGCACCACCTGAGAAACCCTGGAATGATGATTTCCCTGCAAAATACCAACAAACAATGGTTTCCCATGGTTTCAAAGTGGTGCAGGATTTTGTCCATCCACAGTATCAACCCCCTCAGGCGGTTGGTTTCCTTTTGGTTTCTCCTTGAACCTATACAGAAAGCGACCCCAATTTCACGGTATTTCATGGTCATGGCATACTTGCAGTTGTGTGAAGAAGATGTAAATACAGCATGACGTTGTATGACCGTTGTGGGTAAATACGTTGTCTTCCGTATGTACCCAGTCATGATGTGGGTAAATATCACCAGTCATGATGTGCACAGCTGTATACATGCACAATTCTCATGATGTGGGTACATACAGCATGACTCAGCCAAAAAAAAGGGATTCCGCCATCTACTTTCACCCAAATACTAAGGTTGAAGCTCCCTGAGGTCCCTCTCGGTGCTTTCCGGGGAACCCTGCGTTTCCCCTTGAAGGGGTGCTTTTAAGCATCAGGTGTTGGGCCTCCATGTGAGTTTCCTTTGGGTGTGATGGTTGCAGGTTGGACATTTTTGGAACTCTGCCATTTCTGACTGGAAGTGAAATCCATGCAACGTCTGGTAATCCATGTTGTTCCAGTGTTCGCCGCGGTTTCCACCCTCAGGTTCCACCGGTGGCTTGGATTGGTGGTTTGAGGATTTGAACCCCTGCTTCTTTTGGGGGATAAATGGGAAACACGTGTGTTTGACCACCAAGCCACCGATTCGGCTCCAGCTCCAAACCGAACCCCCTTTTTTTCCTTTGGCTTTTTAGCCTTTTATTTAGTTACGACTGAACAGTTCGTCACTTTTCGGGGGATCTGAACACGGACCGCCCAGTTTTGAGGGAAGCTGACCTCCAGTTTCGATGCTTCTCGTAGGAGACGACCTGAAGCTGCTCACCACGGATAAGCCCGCGGACGGGCTCTTCGATGGCCTGGTGGTCTTTTGCATCGCCCTTCGGCTGCGGTCGCCGTCGAACTTGGGGCTCCTGAAGTCCAGAGTCGAGGGTCAGCCTCCGAAACGAAGCCCATGAGGCAAACACCGAGATCCGGTGGGGTTGCAATTTTTTTGGCACAGGCCCAACTGGTGTAGGTTGGTTTGGAGGTTGGGGCCACGAAGCTGGGGTCTCCAACACTATTTCATATTTTTGGTGGACGAAATGTGAATTCAGAATCGGAGACTGTGTTTTTTTTTTGCCCGGGGTCCCCCTCAAAACGGGGTGCCAATTCCAAAAGAAAGATAGACCCTCATACTGTGGATGGACGAAATCCTGCACCACGAAATGTAACCATGGTTAAAACCATAACGTTTCTTGGTGTTTACCGGGGAATTGAATCAGAAACTGTTGGGATATCTGAACGGTGGTGCGAAATGGATTGATTCCGTCCATGCACATCTCATTTTCCATGTGCATCCCAGTGCCACCCTTAGCGCCAGCGGTTCATCGCCGCGCCTTCTCGGTTCCGTTTCCGGCGAGCAGTCTCCACCGTTCTCGGCGTTTGTTTCAACCAGATCCCAAAGTACTCAAGGAAAAGCAGGAAGTCCCTGAGTGGGTGAGATACTGTTTCTCTGCTGCCCGTCCGCGCGCGAGAGCAGCGCGTAGGCCCCCGGTCCGCGCCGCAAGTTCAGCACGACGGCTCCATCCGCCGTTTTGTCGTCTGAATGTTGAACATCTCATCCGCATTTTTGTCCGCCTAGGGTTTTTGACCCCTATTGCCGGTGGACCTGGGTCGAGCCCCAAGTTTCAACCGGCTCAAACCGAAATGATTGGGTTGGGATCAGGTAGCCCGTCAGGTTGGTTTGGATTGGTTTGTGATACTGTGGATGGACAAAATCCATTTCGCACCACTTGGAAACCATGGGAAACTCATTGTTTGTTGGTATTTACAGGGGAATCATCAGAAACCAGGGTTTCTTAGGTGGTGCGAAATGGATTTCGTCCATCCACAGTAGTTTGCCAGTTTGCCACATTGTGTGCGGAACATAACCCCTCTACGTCCAAGCAACCACCAAACCAAAGCACCGATTCGGGGCAAGGTAGCCCCCCTAGTTGGTGGTTTGAGAAAACTTGAAGCCCTTCTTGCGGAGGGTACATGGGGTTTGCCATCCCGGAACACCACGAAACCTCCCATTCGGCTCGAAACTAGCAAGTGGGAAGCTGATTGGAGGTGTTGCGGGGTGGTGTTCCCTCCACAAGAACTACTGCGGATGGACAAACTCCTGCGTTGGTATTTACAGGGCAATCGAATCAGAGACCGGGGTTTCTGAACGGTGGCGCGAACTGGATTTCGTCCAAGGGTTCAAATGTCCACTCCAAACCCACCCGCATTGGCGGCTTGGATTGGTTTGGCGGCAAAGGAACCCCAGCTCCTCTTGCGGCCAAAGAGCGGTGATTTGCGGGGCTCTAAGCCTCTCAAGCACCCCTTTGAAGGGAAACCAACCTTCTTCAATTTCCGGGTGTCTCTCACCCATTTTGACCATCATATTTTTGACTCTGCCTTTTTTTTTTTCCGGGGGGTTGGGGGGGTGGGGTTCTGCGTTGGGACCCGCGTTAAACGTCCCTCGCTTCGTTTTTGGGGGTCCCGTCGCCCCGTTCGCGGAAACGTTTCCGACTTCGAGGTCTTCTTCTCCTCTGAGGTTCTCATTTGCTGCCTAGGCGGCTCGGATCTTCGCTGTTTTTAAGGGGTAGGTTTGGGTGCGTCTGATATTTTTGATGCCCTTTTTGGTGGGTGGCTTTGCAGGGGAGCAAAAGGGACACTACTCATTTTTTCGCGTTTCGGAATCGGGGGAATCGGAAGTGGCCGTGTCTGCTTTCTGGATGGTGCCCTTTTTGGTGTGACATAGAAAGGGAAACAAAAAGGGACACTCAATTTGAGAATCCCCTCTTTGGAGACATGCCCGTCCAGGGTTGCTAAAGGTTCCATCCACCACCTGCAATACAAAGCTTAGAAGATCCTTTTGAATCTGCTGAGCTTATGAATCCAACACTAGCATGATTCCGTGGCACATCTTTCATTCTGGCGGTAAGCTACGAGTTTGGACTTGTTTTGGCCAATCCACTCCATCTGAAGTGAGTCTGCTGGATCGCTTGGTTGAGAAAAAACCCAGCGCCCTTTCGTTGTGTAAGGGCCTGTCCCATAACTTTCTTTGCAGGCCCGGAACACTGTAAACCGATGCTGAGGAAGAACAACCGATACCCGTAAACGCGATGAAGACGCATATCAGGTCCAAGGTGTTGTCGCACACCAAGATTGTGAAATCATAAATTTGCAGGGCCCAAACCGATACCCAAACAGATGCCGAACCGATGCCTAATTCATTAGCCGCCATTCCGAATCCAACCAGCTGCCCTAAAGCTGTCAAAATATATAGTTTGTGTACTACAGTGCTTAGAAGTGGCGATTTTCCAGCTGAAGCTGCCAAAATGTACTTCGCATACTGCATTTTCGTACCCTTGTACTCAAAATTTGCGACTTTGGAGCCGTACCTGCTAAAGTGTACTTCGTATGCTATACTTGTACTGAAAATGTGCAGAAAAGTTGCGACCTTCCAGCCGGAGCAGCCAAAGTGCACCTTGTGTACTACACTTGTACTGAAAGGGTGCGACTTTCGAGCTGGGGCTGCCAGAGTCTGCCAGAGTGTTTCCGTATACTGCACTTGTACTGCAAGAGTCGTAACTTTCGAGCAAGAGCTGTCAAAACACTGCAGACCGATGCAGAGGAAGAAAGCCGACACTAGGGTAGAAGGTTATAAGGGTCGTCCGCAGGTTCTTTTGCCAGCCCATGTCAAAGCGTAAATGGGGAAGGTTGTCCCCATATTAGTCAGCCCCAGTTTGTAAATAGCGGGGTGTCCCTGAATGGCCAGCGCTTCCGGGTTACCTGCATAGCAAGTAACTTGCCCGTGGTTACCATTTTTTTCTGGAACCAAGCTCGGTTCCCAAAATAGGACAAGCCAGATTCCAATCTCACGGTTTTCGCTGTTCCGGCCTCCGAATTCACGGTTCCATCAGCCTATTTCACGTTTCCGGCACTCTGTTTCACGTTTCTGCCCTCTACTGTGTAGCCTTTTTTTGTGGTTCTGGAAACTACCGGCCAGTTGCCAATATAGGAGGTAACCAAGCTGGCTACCAACTATACAGAACAGGAAGCACTGAGTGGGGCTGGGTGCTCCGCCGAGTTAGAAAGTTGTTGGTAAGCTAGGTTATAACCCATTTATAAGTCCCGGCAATGGTTGTTAGGGGGTACTGCAAGTGGATGACGTCTGACTAACTTGGCGAATTGAGCATCCAGGAACGGGGGGAATCCGCTACAGCCAGGGTATCTCACCACTTGCGTTCAGCCACTCTTCTCAAGCAGAACGCCAGCCGTAGTTCCGAGTGTTCGGAGCTCCCGAGAGTCTGGGTGGCATCCTGGGACTTCCCCCCGCACACGCACACACACACACACAACACCCACTATTATCAGGGTATGATGTCAACCCTTTGCTAAAAAAGAAGGGATTTCTTCTGGAAAACCACGTTCTCCAAACAGCTACCCTAGGACAAGGAAGTATTGAGTTTTCGGGATATTTGTTCGAGCCCTCCATTGGGTAACTCGATGTTTTCCGCTTTCTGCCTGGAGTCTCCACGTCAGTAGCTGATCGGCTCCTTACGGTTGGGTGAAACCCCCCTTACTCCTAGTCGGGCTTAAATAGTTATCCCCTTACCTACCCCTGACACACACACACACACACGCAAACAATACCCACCTTTTTCATGGTACGATGTCAACCCTTTACCCTTTACTTAACAAGAAGGTATTTTCCATGGACAAGCATGCTGTTCAACAAATACAATGAACAAACAGCGGGTATTTGGAGCTTTCGGGGAGTACCTAAAAATCGGATTTGCGCCGTTTGCTTTCATGGAGGTGGACATCGTGAGCAAACCTTTGTTGATTCCCCACCTGCGGTACCATAGTGCAAGTAAGGAACAAGTTGAGTCTCTCCAGTTTACTGCGATTTACCATGGTTTTGTGGTTGGCTCAATTTCAGTACGTTGCGGAATCGGCATCCTTCTTGATGCCAAGTCGAGGCAAGGATGATTACTTCATGAGCTTCTTCTTCGTACTAGACGCCGGGCCCCCAAATCTGCGGTGTTGGGCGACTCCAAAACCAGCGGAACTGGCCGTGGGTCAAAACCGATGGGATCCCATTTTGGGGTAGGTGAATTCACCACCCATTTTAGGCTATTTTAGTGGGGATTGGGATGTTCACTGGGGGCTAACCGGGGTTTGGACCCATGGCCCAAAAGAACAGGGAATTACAGGGTTTTCCCTCCATCTCCCTTTTCGAAACCTTCGAAAGTGGGAACTCGATCGTTTCAATGGGAACCCCTTTAGTAAATTGACCAACTTTTGATTCCCGGTTGTGGAGACATCCGGTGACTGCCAATATGCGCCACACACCCGTTGTCTGGGGCTTTTTGGAAACATGGGTTTTCCATACGAGAATGCATTTGTTTTGTTAGTCAGGGCCTCGGTTTATCCTTCCAGTTGAGGTCAGCCTTTTCCCTCAGAGAAATAGTCAGGAGTTGTAATTGTATCCTGAAACGAGTTGGTATTTAGAGCTTGGTAATTTTGGCTTCCTTTATATAGCGGTGACTGGAACTAAATGGAAGCAGAACATTTGAACTTTCGAAGAGATGGAGTTTGGAACCCGCTTCATGCAGCTCCCCAACTATGCAAATCGGTGCGCAATTCTGCTAAATTGAACGCATTTAAGAGGCTTCCTTAGGTAAAGACGATTTTAAGATTCTCATGCTGGAGATGCTCGACATTTTGATGGCGCTGGCCGGGCACGGCCGGGATCCATGGCCGGGCATGAGCTTCTTTGCCTTCAGACCTATGATTATGCGGCCTAAGGGATATAAAAAGAGTAACTTCCATTTGCTTAGTGATATGTTTTATTAATTTTCCCTGTTGGTGTTAAAGGGAACTTATGATCACTGGACATTTTCTTCCAGGAGACGCCTTCGCAAATGGAGGGCAAGGAAAACAAGGGATCAGTTTAGTCTGAGACCTTTGGATTTCTGTCCACCGGTCCGAAAGTCCGCTGCGAAGTCCACCGGCGCGTTTTGGATGGGGGGGTTCTGCTTGGATGACCCTACTTGCTAAGCGCTTCACATCCCCTTAGTAAGTCCAATTGGTGGGGTATACTGTGCATGGTTGCGAAATCCTTCGTACCATGAAATGAAACCATGGCTGCATGCAGAGCGTTTGTTGATATTCACGTTGGGAAATCGAATCCTATAAACCAGGATTCCGAACGGGTGGTGCGCAAG